TTGTCTTTATGAAAAACATGGGAGCCGGGCGATAGTAGCACACGCCTTTAATCCCAGGACTCGGAGACAGAGGTAGGTGAATCTCTGAGGTTGAGACTAGCCTGGTCTACAAAATAAGTTCCAGGACAGCCAGAGCTATGCAGAGAAACCCTGTCTTAAAATAACCAAGAAAATGATAATAATAATAATAAAGACATTATTACATACATTAAGCATATGCATGTCTCTGGTGTCAGGAGCAGAGGCATCTATGGTGTGATCCCAGGGGTCGCACATGGCATGCAGCTCAGAGTCACTGCTGGAATCTCAGCCTGGGCACACTGGTTCATACAGAGGTGTTCGTTCTGAGAAAATCTCTTCCCGACTTTGGGTAGCTGAGGATTGGCGTATGACCGTAGAGAATAGCAGGCTCTATGGATAGCGAATGTACCTGATAGGTGTGTACCTCTGTAAAACACGCTTTCAGATACATCATGTCTGAGGCAGGCTTCATAGTCTCAGAGTTGGGGAGCCGAAGGAGACCTTTGGTGCTTTGAAGTATGCCAGTGTGTAGGAGACCATCCCCTTTACAGGGTGGTGTGCTCCTGGTGGATCATGTGACTACCCGGTAGCACCAGAGGGCGGGTTCTGGTGTCAGACCCACCCAAGCAGAGGTGTTTCAAATACTCAGCCACGTGACCTGCCGTAATGGGCTTTGGGACGTGAAGGATTCCAGCATGGCTATGGTGTGAAGCAGTGTTTGAGAGATGGACTCCCTGGGGTTTTGGGTGCAGTGGCTCCCCTAGAGTGCTTGTCGGGGAGGAGGGAGGAGACAAGAGACTTATGTGTCTACCAAGTTCCCAGGCCAAACAGAATGATGTTACACGGCACCTTTAAAGTAACAGTGCTTATAGAAAGTAGATATTGGTAAATGTACTTTCATTTATTTGTGTGTGTGTGTACGCATGTGCACATGTATGTGGAAACCAGAGGTTGGTAGTGGGGTGTCTCCGTCAGTCACTCTCCACCTTATATTTTGAGACAGTCTCTCACTGAGTTCAGAGCTCACCAGCTCTCTAGACTGGCTAAAAGCAGACAGACCCCTGTGATCCTGTCTGTCTCCGCAGCGCTGGGATTATAGCTGCCATGTCCAGGTTTTAGGTGGGTGCTGGACCAAACACAGGTCTTCATGAGTGTGTGGCCCCAGACTCCTCTCGTTTGACTCAGTCATTTTATCTGCAGTAATGACAGTGAGATCTGGGGCTCATCTTTCTCATCCACCATAGACGGAACATCACAAGGGTCTGGAGTTGAAAGTGACCTAGAGATTCTGTGCCTTGGCTGGTCATGTGACAGCAGGGTCCAGCGCTGGTTAAGGACAGAGTGGGGCCAAATTTAATTGCTTTGATTTTTCAGATCAAATCTACCTCTGTTGAGTACTTTACCCCTCCCCCAGCGAAAACATGGGGGGCGGAGGTGTTGCTTTTTTTCTAACCTTTGGTGAATGCCTAAACCAGCATGAGTATCACTTGGTTTGACCCAGGATGTCCATGATGGCCTGGCATAGTCTTCTATGATGCTACTGCGTGAAACGTAGTAAGCTCTGGGGTCTTCAGGTCGCTGTCCTTCAGAGAGCATGTGTCTGTTTCCTGCCTCGTTCTACCTACAGGTATGGCTGTTTTATCTGAGGAAGGAGGCGTTAGGATGCGTCAGCCCTTTGTGATAACTTTTGAAGTCTAAGTTGAAAAGAATGTTCATGAATAGGAAGCAGATGCGTCTGAGAAAGAGCATGGAAGCAAGACTGGGAGCTGCTTCCCAGAGGCTCTGCCTTCAGCCTGATCCTGGGATCTGGCTACTTTGAATAGAGGCTTGAAGCTGGGAAGCAAGGGAGGCCAGGTTTGGGTTGGATTACTGTGAAATCCTCTTGTCATGGGAATGACCCTTTGTGTCAGAGGCTTCCTGGAATTAGGGAGCTAGAGTGTAACTTTCCCAGGCAGCCATTTCTGAGTTAGGAATTGTGCCACATGGCCCAAGGTGACAGAAGTTTAGATTTTTCCATTTGGCTGGGAGCTGAAATGTACAGTGGTTTAGTAGCTTTTGTTTGCAAAGACTGCCTTCTTTTTTCACCCTTTTTTCTTATTAATTTTATTTTTCCTTCCAAGTTTCTTTTTTTCCTCACATTTATTTGTGTGTGTGCGTGCACACATGTAGGTGCATGTATCACAGCATGCATGTAGAGGTCAGAGGTCAGGGAGCCAGTTCGTTCCCTTCACCATGTGGATTCTGTATGCTAACCCCAGGTCCAAAGGCCTGGAGGCAGGTGCCTTTCTTTACCTGCTGAATCATCTCACCAACCCCTGTTCTATATATGCCTCCTATATCCCATTTGCATATAAATGTTTTAAATATGTAGGAGAAGTCATCAAGTCAAAGCATGGATTTTTTGATAAAGCAGTTCATAAATCCCACGAGCCACTTCCTGCTTGCGCATCTAGACTTTAAACAAAAAGAAAGCAGGGCTGGGAAAGTGACTCAGTCAGTAAAGTGCTTGTCTTGCAAGTGCGAGGGCCTGAGTCTGGTCTCCTGCACCCACAGGCAAAGCTGGGTGTGGTAGCGTGCTGCTCCGCCTTTGTCACCCCAGTGCTGGGGAGGCAGAGAAAAGAGGATGATGGCTGGGATCCCCTGACCATCCAGTCTAGCCTCATTGCTGAGCTTCAGCCAGTGAGAGGCCTGTCTCAGAGGTGGTAGATGGAGTTTTAAAGGATGAAACCCAGGGTTGTCCTCTGCCGTGTGCGTGTGTGTGTGTGCATGCGCACACACACACACACGTTGTTTTTGCTTTTTTAAAATTGAGTAATTTTCTTCGTTTAATGGAAATCATTAGAAAACTTTTAGAAGCAAGATACCATATTGCAAGAGTGTGAACAGTCTGGAAAGAGGGAGACGTCTGAGCACCCTCCATTGAGATAATGTCTGTGGGATTAGATCGTGTGGAAAGGAGATCGCTTCACCATGGTAGAAAAGCTCTTCACTTTCCACCGAACAGCCTTACCAGCTTCCGGACCTTCAAACGTGGGAGGACAGCGCCCTCTTCTGGGCACAGGGACAGCTCTGTAGGGTGTCTAAAGAGCCCAGCATGATCCCAAGCACCCTGAGCCTGTATGGAGAGACAAGTTTTATGTGGAGGGCGGGATCTGACCGGACAGGCAGAGGAGGGCCGTGGGTGGACCTGACCAGATCAGTAAGGAGGCTGCCAGGGCCAGCATGAGGTGGGACTGTCAGTGCCCAGGAAACACTGGTGAAGGAACAGGTAAGGGGTTATCTTCAGATCTTGTAATTGGATACGTCCCCAGTCTTTTTAGGGTGTTCCATCTTTTCCCACATAGGCAGAGTAGAATAACCTTCTAGCCCACTTTGCACCCTGCCTGGAACTGGCTCTTTGTTACTGTGGCTCTAACTCTCTTTCTCTCCAGCTTCTCTTTCTGTCCTCTTCTCTTCCATCTAATGCCCGAGTATCACACAGTCCCCGTCACACACCCATTTACAACCCAAGGCCATCCCTTCCTGTGTCTTAGCTGAGCTGGACAGCTGTTCTTGACTTTTGGGGCCTAGGCACTGGAAGAAATCCTGGTTGTGTGGCATAAGGGTCTTTTGTATCTCTGAAATTGCCCATTTAAAAACAAAATAATAACAAAAATCACTCCTATGATTCTAGGGAAATGAAAAGCATTTGACCTCACACAGATTCAAACCCAGATCCATGAAAGGGGGAATGGAGCATGCTCACTAGCTATGTAGACCCATGAAAGAAGGAATGGAGCATGCTCACTAGCTATGTAGAACCATAGAAGGGGAACGGAGCAT